TGAATTTATTAAAGATTTGAAATTTAATTTTGAAGAAATTTACATAAACATAATTATATATGACCACATTAATATACACCAGTATCTTATTAGTTCGCAATAAATTTTATTCTAAAAATTAATTTTACGAAATATAATTTTATCTAAATTATTTCTCATTGAAATTTAATGAAAAATAAGGTCTGATACACTAAATTGTTATTTGGCATAATTTTTGTTTGTTATATTCTACATTTTCTATCATTTGCATTACATCGAATTGTCATGTGACTGAGACATAGATGGGTAGATATTGTTGTCCTTTTCACTCTCATGATTTTCTGCTTTTGGCCGACGTATTCTGCTTACATGGGATTGCACCCTTAAATTGAAAATATAAGAATTTCAATTTTCTCTAAAATCGATAATTGGATGAGTTTCCCATCCATGGCATTCATATATAAATGTTCTACCTTACGAACGAACGAGGTACATGTGATAGAAAAGGACACACATACATCTCTGTCCTTTTCTACCTCATGCTTTGCATTCGCGAACGACATTCACGATTTTGACTTTTATTTTTTGTTTTTTTTTTGTTGACTTTTATTTTTTCAAGATAATTGATAATAAATAGTAATTAATTATTAAATTATGAGTAATTAATTAATAATTTAACAATTAATTAACTAATAATGAGTAAGTACCATCAATTATCTTTAAAAAATAAAAGTCAACATGATGCGCGCGCACCCAACCACAAACACTTTGCACTTGTACTTGGACTTACTCTTGTACTTATTGTAGAAGCTCCATTAGGCCTTAATACTTAGATATAATAGATGTGGCGAGGGTCGGTGGTGGGGACTACCGATATATGAAGCATACTCAATTTTTAGGGCGCTTCCACAATACATGCAATTTGCCTTGCTGAGCATTTTGCTCTTGCATTTTGCTCTTGCTTTCTGCGCACGCAACATACTTATCAGTCGTCAAAATTAATTAAGTAATTGATTACTAATTAATTATATGTAATTAAGTAGTAATAATGTTATACATTAAACAAATTAATTTATTACTACTTAATTACATGTAATTAATTTGTAATTAATTACTTAAATAATTTTGACGACTAATAAACATGTTGCGCGCGCAGAAAGCAAGAGCAAAATGTAAAGAGCAAAATGCTCAGCAAGGCAAATTGCATGTATTGTGGAAGCGCCCTTAGGGCATGATAGTGCCGCCCTCTTCAACTTTTCGCCGTTTCCAAGGTTACTGCTGGGAAATCGCATTTTTGGCTAGAATTTCATTTTACGACATAGCCTTTGAAAAATATACTTTTTTCATTCCAAATGAAATATGAATGATTTAAAAATTTTTTTAAATAAAATAGAAAATAAAAAGAAAATTTACTTTATGAAATAATTAAAACAGAATAATAATTAATATAACAAATTAACATATTATATTAAAAAATAGTTCAAATAAAAATATCAATATTTTGAAGTTCATTGAAAAAACCTTTCTTTTCTTATTTAAATATAATGCATCTTACTACTGGAAAGAAATGAAATATATTTTGTAACATATCATGTGAATTATATCATATCATTTCATATTGTCATATTAAAATAACGCAATAAAATAATTAAAAATAAAAATAGCAATGAAGAAAAATGTTTGAATAAAAGAACTTATAATAAAAATTTTTAAATTAAAAAATGTTATCAATAATTTTATCAACAACAACAACAAATTTCTTAAATTCAAGCGCATGAATAAGGCATTTAGCATATAAAAACTTAAAGATTAAACGAAAACAATTATAATGCTTATATAAAAAATAAATTAAACATTCAAGTAATTTGAGCCACCTATCCATCACTATCAAACGATTTTAAACAACTATAAAACACTATCAAACGATTTTAAACAACTATCAATCACTATCAAACGATTTCAGCCAACTATCAATCACTATAAAGCGATTCCAGCTAACTATCAATCACTATCAAACGATTTTAAACAACTATCAATTACTATCAAACGTTTTGAACCAACTACCAATCACTATCAAACGATTTTAAACAACTACCAATCACTATCAAACAATTTTAGCCAACTATCAATCACTATCAAACGAATTTAGCCAACTATCAATCACTATCACACGATTTTAAACAACTATCAATCACTATCAAACGTTTTTAGCCAACTATCAATCACTATCAAACGATTTCAGCCAACTATCAATTACTATCAAACGACTTTAGCCAACTATCAATCACTATCTCACGATATCAGCCAACTATCAATTACTATTAAATGATTTTAAACAACTATCAATCACTATCAAACGATTTCAGCCAACTCTCAATTACTATCAAACGATTTTAAACATCTATCAACTACTATCAATCGTTTTTAACCAACTACAATCACTATCAAACAATTTTAAACAACTATCAATCACTCTCATACATTTTTAGCAGACTATCAATCACTATCAAACGACTTTAGCCAATTATCAATCACTATAAAACGATTTCAGCTAACTATCAATCACTATCAAACGATTTTGAACAACTATCAATCACTATCAAACGTTTTTAGCCAACTACACAGGCCTGCAAATTTTGGGTCACTTCTGTTACCAAGAAAGGGGGAGGTGATTCTTATAGGATTTTTGACGTAGAATACGAATCCGACCTCCAAAATGGCCCATCACGTCAGGATTTTCTGTAATATTGGCTTAAATGGCCCTAAAATGGCCATTTTGACCATTTTTAGGAATTTTTTGTGGCTAACCAAAATTTTTTTTTCCATTTTGCGAAATTGTATCGTATAGTACTATTTCTAAGCTTTAAAACCCATTTTTAAAAATCGCTCTACGATTTTTTAAAAAAAAGTTATGCAGTTTTGAAATTTTTTTATTTTGCAAAAATGTATATAAAACTATAGAGGCTGAGGTAAATAAGAAACGGGCTAGCAGTAAAAGGGACACCCTTTAATTATTACGTAAGGTAATAATTAGGTAAGGTCTTATTTCTTTATTGCAAATTAAAAACAAAAAATTGTTTAAACAATTATTTATTTACAAATTTTATAAAAAAATGTTTTTCTAATATCATTTATTATGAAATTCTATATTTATTCTTATTTGAAAAAAACATATATAATGCTTCGTTACTCGAGGGTTATTATTAGTGTCGATGATTACCATTCTCAAATCAGATTTAAAAAATTCAAAATGGCGGACCCAATATGGCGGACGAGTTTTTTCAAAAGTGCTTGCATTTGCTTCAAATTTCCTACTCAGGGGCTTTTGGGGACGCTGATTACGAATATGACGTAAGAGTGGTGCAGCCAATGAAAGCAAGATCAGATCATGAACCAACCAGTAAAGGTAAGACAAAGGAGTAGTCCAGCCAATGAAGGCAAGATCAGATCATGAACGAACCAGTAAAGGTAAGACAAAGGAGTATTCCAGCCAATAAAGGCAAGATCAGATCATGAACCAACCACACCTTTGTCTAACTTTTACTGGTTTGTTCATGATCTGATCTTGCCTTTATTGGCTGGAATACTCCTTTGTCTTACCTTTACTGGTTCGTTCATGATCTGATCTTGCTTTCATTGGCTGCACCACTCTTACGTCATATTCGTAATCAGCGTCTCCAAAAGCCCCTGAGTAGGAAATTTGAAGCAAATGCAAGCACTTTTGAAAAAACTCGTCCGCCATATTGGGTCCGCCATTTTGAATTTTTTAAATCTGATTTGAGAATGGTAATCATCGACACTAATAATAACCCTCGAGTAACGAAGCATTATATATGTTTTTTTCAAATAAGAATAAATATAGAATTTCATAATAAATGATATTAGAAAAACATTTTTTTATAAAATTTGTAAATAAATAATTGTTTAAACAATTTTTTGTTTTTAATTTGCAATAAAGAAATAAGACCTTACCTAATTATTACCTTACGTAATAATTAATGGGTGTCCCATTTACTGCTAGACCGTTTCTTATTTACCTCAGCCTCTATAGTTTGATATACAATTTTTGCAAAATAAAAAAATTTCAAAACTGCATAACTTTTTTTTAAAAAATCGTAGAGCGATTTTTAAAAATGGGTTTTAAAGCTTAGAAATAGTACTATACGATACAATTTCGCAAAATGGAAAAAAAATTTTGGTTAGCCACAAAAAATTCCCAAAAATGGTCAAAATGGCCATTTTATGTCCATTTAAGCCAATATTACAGAAAATCCTGACGTGATGGGCCATTTTGGATGTCGGATTCGTATTCTACGTCAAAAATCCTATAAGAATCACCTCCCCCTTTCTTTGTAACAGAAGTGACCCAAAATTTGCAGGCCTGTGCTATCAATCACTATCAAACGATTTCAGCCAACTCTCAATTACTATCAAACGATTTTAAACATCCATAAACTACTATCAAACGTTTTTAGCCAACTACAATCACTATCAAACGATTTTAAACAACTATCAATCGCTCTCATACGTTTTTAGCTGACTATCAATCACTAGCAAACGACTTTAAACAACTATCAATCAGTATCAAACGATTTTAAACATCTATCAACTACTATCAAACGTTTTTAGCCAACTACAATCACTATCAAACGATTTTGAACAACTATCAATTACTATCAAACGATTTTAAACAACTATCAATCAGTATCAAACGATTTCAGCCAACTATCAATTACTATCAAACGATTTTATCCAACTATCAATCACTATCACACGATTTTAAGCAACTATCAATTACTATCAAACATCCAACTATCGATTTGATTGAAAAAATTTTGGTGTATTCGAAGTGTTTGAGTTACGCAGCCTGTTGTTGATTAATTAAGCCGTTTTGAATAATTTGTTTTAATAATTTTGAAAGGCGATAATTTAATTTTATGATATATAAACAAAAATTCGAAATATTGCATTTTGTTTGTATTATTGAATAGGATAATCTGTTTCTGTTATTTGAATATGCCGCGAGAGAATGTTTTGCGCATGCGCATATGGTGGAATGTGAGATGGATAAATGTTTTTAATAATGTTAATATTTAATATTATTTCAACTATCAAACGTACAGAATTGACTATCAATCACTATCAAACAACCAACAAACGTTTACAAATGAAAAATTAGTGTTTTATTGAAATTGGGGTGCAGTGTGAAAATAGCACCGCAATATTTGATTGTTGTTTATTTTTTCTATTTTTTACTATCAAACGTTAAATATCAACTATCAAACACTATCAAACGACCAACAAACGTTTTAAAGAAAAAAAAGTTGATTGTGATAAAGTTGTGGTGCTAACTTCACGGACATGATCACACCGCCATTTTTTGTGACCTTTCGGGAGAGGTTCTACGTCCTTTTATTCCTTTTCCCCTGCGAAAACGTATTTTCCATCTTCTTCATGATCCAGCACATCCTGGCGCCAAGGTTTCGTGTAGGGTCATTTGTAAGTCGTACGTGTGGCCAGGAATGAACCGTGATATCAAGGAGTGGTGTAGAAATTGTTTGCCTTGTCAAAAGTCGAAGGTCAATCGTCACACTGTGATGCAACCGTCACATTTCGTTGCACCGGAAAGTAGATTTTCCCATGTTCACATGGACATAATTGGTCCGCTTCCGGTGTGCGACGGTTATCGATATTGTTTGACTCTTATCGATCGATTTTCTCGTTGGCCGGAGGCCATTCCTTTGAAGAGTATAGACGCGATTACAGTTTCTCGTGCGTTTTTTGATGGTTAGATTTGTCGCTTCGGTTCACCTGAAACTTTAACGACTGACAGAGGTAGTCAGTTCGAATCTCAATTGTTTTCGGCTCTTCTAAAGTTGACAGGTTGTCAACGAATACGAACAACGGCGTACCATCCTGCCTCTAATGGTATAGTGGAACGCTGGCATCGTGTTTTAAAAACTGCAATAATGTGTCATTCGGAAAAACAATGGATCCAGTCTTTGCCGGTAGTCATGATGGGATTACGTAACAATGTTTTACAGTCGGGGGCATCACCGGCTGAATACATCTACGGGACAACATTTAGAATACCTGGTCAATTTGTCTTACCTGAGGATTTTTCACCTAACCCTCAATTTTTTCTTGAAGAATTTAGAGAGCACATGCGTCTCATACGACCAGTTCCCGTCGAACATCATGATAAAAGAAAAATTTTTGTCCATAAGAATTTAGAGTCATGTACACACGTTTTTCTAAAAGCAGCGTTTACAAAAAAATCACTTGAATGCCCGTACTCTGGTCCCCATAGAGTAGTCAATCGCACATCTGAAAGAGTTTATGAAATTGAAATTAACGGCGTAAAAAAGCAAGTTTCTGTCGAAAACTTAAAACCCGCCTTTTTTGTACGCGACGACGCAGATGTAGCACTCGAACCTGTGATAAAAACTACGTGTAATATACCTGTAAATTCTACGTCACATGTTCTTGTCACTGCGAATCCTGAAACAGTATTAAAAGTTAAACCAGTATTAAGAACTTATGTTAACAAAAAGAAAAAAGTTACATTTAACTTACCTTAGAAAAGTAAAATTTACGAAAATTTTGATTTAACTTTATCAAGATTTATAGGAATTAAATTATAATATTTTTTTTTTGCAATTTTTAAATAATAATAAAAAGAGAAGTTATATTTTTTCTAACTTGTAAATATTTTAAAAAGTTAACTTTAGCTATAATATAATTATAAAATATTTTATAAAAAAATCTGTTTTAGGAAAAAGAATTCTATTTTTTTTAAATAATGTTTTTATACTTGATAAATTAAATTTTTTATAACATTTTATCGTTGACACTCGGGGGGGAGTATGTGGGGAGTTGTAGGCTCGATGCTTCCCCTCTCTCTTTCCCCACGTTCATGACTGAACATAGTAACGCGGAACGCGACTACCTTTCTAGATAATATATGACCCATGTTAGAGTTGCGCAGTGATGTACATATGTAAGTGTATGTAGTATATGTAATGTAATGTAAATCTATATGTAAGTGTAATGAGAATTAAGATAGTATAAATCCGGCAGTCGTTGGTACAACACATGTACCCTTGTTACTTTATAACCTCATTTCTTTTATCTATAATAAATGGTGTTAAATATTAATTGTATATGGAATCAGTTTTATTATTATTTTAACAAGTGGGAAAACCTTCTGGTCATTTTATATATTCTAACAATAATTCCCACAGAGGCATATTAGTCTAAGCGAGAATAGAATTTGAATTCTCTACTCAGGTCCATTTATGCGACTGTCGGTAGAAGAAAATGTTTTAAAAAGTGTGAAAAACGCCTCCACGCCAAGCTACAAAGGTATTATTTTGTCGATGCAAAGAAATTTATTGTAGAATCAGCCTTAATATATTTGTACAGTATGTAAACCTAAACAAAGTCAATAGTGTACATAATTTCGATCATTCTGAGGTTAGAAACAGACATTTATAAATCTTTATGCATGAGATACCTATATGTATATTGAAAAAGGAATGGTGGTTATAATTTACTTTTAGTGTGACAAAAGATGAATACTAAATAAGCAATAAATTATTAAATTTTATCAAATACCTATTCGTAATTTGTGTGTGTGAGATGATTTTTTGTTTATTTCATATTTTTGAAATATGAATTTAAATAAAAATATATTATCATGCTTATAATTGAAAAGCAAATTAAAACAGAATATAGTTAAAGTTATCCAAAACTTTATTACTCACCGTTTTAAAACTTTTTGAATGTTATCAACGGAAAAGAACTTAATGACGAAGTATTAAGTATTTGAAACGATAAACACCAATGCATCAACAAATCCGCTTTTATTTTCAGGACAGAGAGTACTTCAGAGCCATAGCCTTATCTTCAACACGAATTTCATGAAAATTTCATATAAATAATGAGAAAGATAATTGTTTAATTATTTCAGATACAGAGATACAGAAACACTGTAATTTGATTAAGTTATAATTAATTAGTTTCATACAGTTATTCTTTGACTGTCAAATTACAAATAAACTTTTTAAAAAAAGTTTTGTATACGAATGGGAATTTGTAAATTACAAACCTCGAAGAAATCCTCAAAACGAACTCAAATTTTGAATGAACTATGCCAATTTTTATTGAAGTTGAATTTGGGTTAATTTTACACAATGTACCCAGGGTAAGTATTATATTGACCCAATTTACAAAATGTTTTTAATTTTATTTTTTCTAATAAATATTGGAAAAATCAAATGTTTCTTGAATATATCATATAAGAACTTCTATTACATTTAAAGAACTTGTCTATAGAAGTTCATTGATTTCATCTCATCTTTCTATTATACTTAAAACACTTTATACATTTTAAACAAAACTGATATCAAATTACTGAATTTAATTATTATTTTTGAGTAGAAAATCAATTAATAATTTTTTACTATCCAATGAACTTACTACAGAAAAATTTTATTTTAACCTCAGTGAAAGTTTTGACATTTTTGTCATTTGTTTCGAATGAAGTGAATTGCTTGTGAGTTTTTACCTCTTATTATTTTTACCTTCTACCCTATATTGTTTTTACCCACTAACCAACTTACTTTTACCCTCTACCCTTCGAAATATTACCACTCCTTTTTTCTGTGTTAAAAATATATTTTATTTATATAGACATATATAATAAGTAGTAAAAATAATAGTAAACAAATCTTTATTCTTAATCTTCTAAAAATTGCACGGAAAAAATTAATTCAGTATATTTTACAAAACTGTGACGGAGCAGCGGATACAGCTTTTTACGAAACTGAGTTTTGTAAAATGTCATGGATATTTTCGGAAAAACTACTGAAATTTCGTTGTTTATACTGAATATTTTTGGAGTTTATCCTGAATATTTCGTGACATATTTTACAAAACTATGTTTCGTAAAGAGCTGCATCCGCTACTCCGTTACAGTTTTGTAAAATACACTGAATTAATTTTTTCCGTGTGATAATCTAAAATTATGATTATTTCTAATATTATATTGAAGCATTGACTCATATATATCATTACATGTGTCTATATCTATATATACGCATATCTCTGCCTGCATGCTATAACTCGACGCGAGCGAGTGAGTGAATATAGATATAGTTCGTACAAGCATCTTTTTGTCCAAAGTTGGTTTTGTCCACTGTTATTAAACTTCAGAGTGCTTGACTTATGACAACGTAAACAAAATATATAAAACGCCATGCGCCCTCGGAAAAATGGAAACGTTGGTAAATATAATAGTAAATGATGAAAGAGGTTGACCAAGAGATGGAGCAATTAGTGGTTATTGAAATGTCAAAACAAATAATTTTTAACAGAATGTAAACAAAGAAATTGCTAAATGGAAGACTGTGAGACAGTTTTACTGAATAAAGAAATTAAGGTAAGTAAAAACAATTTCCCTTTTAATAATATGTATTTTAAATATTAGTATTGTTATTTTGAAAATTTGTAACAGTATTTTTAATCATTTTGTCTAACCTCAACTTAAAAATAGTAGAAAACAATTTGCAATTATTTTTTTGTGCAATAAATAATAAATAAAGAGTAGAATTTATTATTTTTTTTTTTTTTAATCGAAAAATTATTGGAAACTTTTAATCTATTTATTATTAACTTATTTAATGAATTTTAAACATATAATGTACTTTACATTGAAAGTTTTAGGCTGTATCCACAATAAGAATTTCCAGCGTTCTTCGCGAAAGGTACACGTAAGTTACGCGAATGTTTTGCGGAATTGCCAACTACTGGAAAAAAAATTTAGCTTTGTTTTGAACGTGGATATATAACCTCCAAATTAATTTCGGTAACGACACCTGATTGAAAGAATGTCATAATTTGTCATACCTTTAAAACTTTTAATTAATATAAATATGTAACAATTATAGAATTTTTAAAAATATTTTCTTGAAATTTGTAATGAATAAGTTTTACGGTGAATCAAAAACATGTATGCGTAAACATTGAACAATAAAAGTCAATTTTCAGGTAATGATAATATAATAATAATAATAATAATAATAATAATAATAATAATAATAATAATAATAATAATAATAATAATAATAATAATAATAATAATAATAATAATAATAATAATAATAATAATAATAATAATAATAATAATAATAATAATAATAATAATAATAATAATAATAATAATAATAATAATAATAATAATAATAATAATAATAATAATAATAATAATAATAATAATAATAATAATAATAATAATAATAATAATAATAATAATAATAATAATAATAATAATAATAATAATAATAATAATAATAATAATAATAATAATAATAATAATAATAATAATAATAATAATAATAATAATAATAATAATAATAATAATAATAATAATAATAATAATAATAATAATAATAATAATAATAATAATAATAATAATAATAATAATAATAATAATAATAATAATAATAATAATAATAATAATAATAATAATAATAATAATAATAATAATAATAATAATAATAATAATAATAATAATAATAATAATAATAATAATAATAATAATAATAATAATAATAATAATAATAATAATAATAATAATAATAATAATAATAATAATAATAATAATAATAATAATAATAATAATAATAATAATAATAATAATAATAATAATAATAATAATAATAATAATAATAATAATAATAATAATAATAATAATAATAATAATAATAATAATAATAATAATAATAATAATAATAATAATAATAATAATAATAATAATAATAATAATAATAATAATAATAATAATAATAATAATAATAATAATAATAATAATAATAATAATAATAATAATAATAATAATAATAATAATAATAATAATAATAATAATAATAATAATAATAATAATAATAATAATAATAATAATAATAATAATAATAATAATAATAATAATAATAATAATAATAATAATAATAATAATAATAATAATAATAATAATAATAATAATAATAATAATAATAATAATAATAATAATAATAATAATAATAATAATAATAATAATAATAATAATAATAATAGTAATAATAATAATAATAATAATAATAATAATAATAATAATAATAATAATAATAATAATGCTTCGGACCCTGATCAGGAAGTCTGTGGTGGGTATGGAGGTCGGAATCCATACTGCTACGGGCGAGTCCAGTCCGTCCGTGTATTCCGGGACTGGCTAAGCGCTTGGTGGGCCCCAGAGTACTGGGGTCGGACGACTATTCGTGCGCGGATAGCCGTCCGTGGGTGTACCCGTTCTCACCTTAGGCGACCCGCCCCTCCACAGACGATGCGCTGGTGAAACAAACTAAATGGATTCCCAAAAAATAATTGAATTGGAAAACGAAATATCATTCGATAACGAAGGAATGGACACTGACCAAAGTCCACCTGTGGTGCACCCTCAAATTCCTAAAGAAATTGAGGTGACAGCCGAAGTCTACCGGGCCCCCTCTGAAAGTAATGAAGGGGCAATTGGTACTATGGCTTCGGTAGTGCAACAGGCTAGAATTTCTGCCAAAGGAAACAGGAGAGGTTCCTCCACGCCCTTATGGGCAGGGCCATGCAAGTTGCTCCTTGATATTGTGGAGGAACTCAAAGGTAGAATGGAAGCCTTAGACAAGGCTATCCATGACATTGAAGGGGCGTTTATAAAAAACACCCCAAATGAGCTCAAGGAGAGAGTCAAAATAGTAAAAGAGGTGTATAGCACGGCCAAAAATGCGGGCCTTGCCGTTGGCTGCTCGGCTGATAAACTCCAAAGAACTTTGGAACAGCCGAGTACACCTAGGACAAAGTTTAAAAAAAGTGCCCCTACCAACACCCCTAGAACCCCAGGGACACCCCAGCCCAAGCGGGAAGGAAAACCCCCCTCGGCACAAACCCTGAAAAGGGGAGCTTCGACCTCTCCGAAAGAGAGAGTGTCGAAGAAGAGGACGTCTGAGGAAATCCAGCAGGAAGCAAAAGTCTTGCCTGCCAATGGAACTCAGACGGAGAAAGTCAATGCCGAGGGAAAGTGGGTAAAAGTACCCCCAAAAAAAGAAAAAAAGAAAACAGGAAACGGAGAAAAAAAAGCCTCTTCCTCAAAAAAACTAAGGAATACGGAGGCTATCAGGGTGACGGCGAAGGGAAATGAATCCTACGCCGACATCCTGAAGCAATTAAAGACGTCGGTCGACCCCGCCGAGACCGGAACCGAGGTCCTGGCAATCAGGAGAACAAGAAAGCAGGAGTTGCTTCTTGTTCTCAGGAGAAGCCAGGGGGTAACAGGCTTCGGAAGGAAGTTGACTGACGCCCTTAAAGAAAAGGCGGAAGTCACTCCTATTGTGACAAAAAGGTCTCTCGAGATCAGGGATCTCGATGAGACCACGGAGGAAAGAGACGTAGTCGAAGCGGTCCGCCAAACATTGGGCAGGACCGACACGGAAGTGTCCTGTCGACTCATCACCTTGCGCCGCGGGGAAAAACTAGCAATAGTGCAGCTCCCCGAAGCAGACGCAGATGCGGTACTAAAATCGGCCAAGGTGAAAATAGGTTGGATAAACTGTAGAATCCGACCTAGAGTCGAAGTGGACAGATGCTTCAGGTGCCTCTGCTACGGACATGTGTCTAAGACCTGTAAAGGACCCGACAGGAGCAAGGCATGCTGGAGGTGTGGTTCTTCCGACCATTCCCACAAGGAATGCAAAAGCCATGGTAAGTGCTTAACTTGTGAGGATAAAGGTTTGAAGGAAACAAACCACATCCCAGGATCTGGGTCCTGCCCAATATATAAGGAGGAACTTCGTAAGCTGAAAGCAAATTAAGTTTTCTCCAGGTCAACCTTGGAAGAGGCAGCGTCGCACAAGACCTCCTGAGCAGACTGCCAGGGAGAGAGGAGCTGATATACTGATCGTGAGCGAACAGTATAAAAAGCAAGGATTCTCAAACTGGTTTCAGGATGCATCAGGGAGGTCCGGCATACTGATATGCAATCCCGAACTCACCATCGGTGAATTCCTTGAGACTGGGGATGGTTTCGTTTGGGTGGAGGTGGCTGGTATACGAGTATACAGCTGCTACTTCTCCCCAAATGATCCCATCACAAAGTTCGACGCCGAGATCCGTTCTCTTGAAGAAAGTCTTAGGACGTTCGGCGGGGAAGTCCTCATTGCGGGTGACTTCAATAGTAAGTCCCCGGAATGGGGGGAGACCCGTTTGGACAGGAGGGGGATCTTGGTTGGCGACATGGTCTCTGCGAATGACCTGGTGGTGATAAATCGGGGTCGGGAGTTCACATTTAGGCGGGGGGAATCAGGATCTATCCTGGATATAACAATCTCATCCCCCCGCCTGGCTCGCAGGATAAAGAAATGGAGAGTGATGGACGAAGAAACCATGAGTGACCACCGGTACATAGAGTTTCTAGTCTCTGAGGAAAATCCGGGAGGGAATATTGAACTGCGGAAAAGCAGAAAGGACCCCTCCTGGAACCTCAAGAGACTAAATAGAGAGAGACTGGTTGAAGCTCTAGAAGAGTCGAGACTCATCCAGGAACTCAACTGGATGAAAAAACCAGTTTCTCTCAATGATACCGTGCGAGAGGCGAGGCGTGTTATAGTCGATGCGTGCAACCGGTCCATGCCTCGCCGGCAGACAAGAAGAGCAAGGAAGAAATCTGTGTACTGGTGGAACGACGAACTCGCTTGCCTTAGAGGAGAATGCCACGCAGCTAGGAGGAAATATACCCATTCTAAGGGGAACTCCGAGCTGCGAAAAAAAGTGGCGTAAAGCCAGGCTTATCTTCAAGCAAGCGGTTCGAAATAGCCAACGCCGTTGCTGGAAGGACCTAATCGGTGAATCCGAAAATGACCCATGGGGTTTGGCGTTCAAGATTGTCACCAAGAAATTGGTGGCTAGACAAAAAACCCCTGGTCTAGATGATCCGATTTGGGTCCGGAAAATAATAAGTGCATTATTCCCCCATGTAGAACCGATCCCCAGGGAGGACTATACTCACTGTGTAGTACAGAGGGAAGAGCTCTTCACGCTTGAAGAACTAAAAAAGGTGGCGAAGACGTTGAAAAATGGCAAAGCGCCAGGCAATGACGGAATAGCCAGCGAAATCCTAAAAGAGGTGACCGCTGTCTACCCAGAGCTTCTTCTCAACGTCTTTAATGCGTGTTTGAAAGCTGGAGAGTTCTTCAATGACTGGAAGATACAGAAGTTGGTCCTTCTTAGGAAAGGAGACAAACCTCTAGATAAGGTCACATCGTACAGACCAATATGTTTATTGGATACGATGGGTAAGTTTCTAGAGGGTATGGTTCTGCAGAGACTTCAGGAAATCCTGGTAGGCGAAAACAGCCTATCGGAGAATCAATTTGGCTTTCGAAAAGGCCGGTCAACAGTTGATGCAATACTCACTGTTGTCAATAAGGCGCAGAAAGCCAAAGAGGGGAAAAAGAAAGGATTCTGCGCGCTCGTTTCCATCGACATACGTAATGCGTTTAACTCTGCAAGGTGGGACCATTGCATTGAAGCAATGAAACGAAAGAAGGTGCCAACTTATCTGTTGCGAATGATAGACAACTATCTTAGCAACAGATGGGTTGTGTACAGGAGCGACACGTGTCATATCAAATACGATATGACATGTGGAGCTCCCCAAGGTTCTAAGGTGGGTCCTTTTGTATGGAACGTCATGTATGACGAACTCCTGCAAATCGACCTACCTGAAGATACGTTTTTAGTCGGCTTTGCAGACGACGTCATTATAGTATGTTGCGCGCAGAGCTTAGAAATCCTTGAAATAAGGATCAATGAAAGTCTGAGACGAGTAAAACGCTGGTTAGACCTCAATGACCTTCAAATGGCCATTGAGAAGACTGAAGCCTTGCTCGTCACAGACCGGAGACCTTATACAACCCCTCCGATTCAAATCGGGAAGACCGAAGTCTCCTGGGGGAATAATCTTAAGTACCTGGGAGTGACGTTGGATAGAAGGTTAAACTTCTCCCAACATTGTAACATCAAGTCACTCGAGGCCGCTGAGTGCGTTGGGAACCTTTCGAGGATGATGCCCAATGTCGGCGGCCCCAGGGAAAAGAAAAGGCGATTGGTGGCGACCGCGGGTCTAGCAAAGCAGCTCTATGCTGCCCCTGCATGGGCTGATAAAGCCCTAAAGAACCGCGGCATCTCTGATAAGCTACTCTCCGTACACGGAAGCTGTGCACGGAGAGTGGTTTCAGCCTACAGAACGGTTTCAACGAGTGCAGTCCTAGTTCTGGCGAGCACTCCGCCAGTAGATTTACTGGCGAGAGAAAGACAGGAGGTCTTTAGGCTAAGGAAGGACCTAGCGGGCTCGCTGGAACAAGAGAACTGTAATAGCCTAAAGGCGGCTATTCGCAATGAAGCGAGGAAACGTCTCGTTGAAAGATGGCAAGAGAGATGGGATGGGGATTCAAAAGGTAGGTGGACACACCGCCTGATTCCTCACCTCGCCACCTGGCTTGATAGAGAGCACGGCGAAGTTGGGTATTACCTGACACAAGCGTTGTCAGGTCATGGTTGTTTCGGCCATTACCTCCATAGATTCAAAATAAGAAAAGCTTCGAAATGCGTGTACTGCGATGCTCAAATCGATGACGCAGAACACACGCTATTTTCCTGTGAGCACTGGAGCGAGGATAGAGAAGCCGTGTTTACGGCGGTTGAGACTCGATTCAACCCCGATACCATGGTCTCTATCATGCTCCAAAGTGTGGACTCCTGGAGACATATCGAAACCTTTGTCATAAAGGTTATGTCGACAAAGGATAAAGACGGAAGACCCGGGTTGACCGGGAGATGCTTAAATGCTCGGCAGGGATCAAGCAGAAGGGGGAGGAGGAGAATTTAGATCCCCTCTCCTCTCTGTCCAGCCTTGAGCAAGTGAAGGAAGAGTAGGCTACGAAGTTCCGGAACCGGAAGGTGAAGGTAAGGGAACCGTTTTACTTGCGAAGTGTAAAGCCAGACGGCAGTTCCGCAAGTAAGAGTAAACGGTTCCAAGAAAAGGGTGTGGTTTTAGCGGGTCGGCCTATACAGGAGTAGAAAGCCAACCCCGCACACCTCGGAGAAATTGTTGCGCCTCCTTGAGACGGTCTGATCCTTGGAGTTGTAATTCCCTCCTTGGTGTAGCAGATTTCCACGCTTGCCCTTGCGCAAAAAAAAAAAAAAAAAATAATAATAATAATAATAATAATAATAATAATAATAATAATAATAATAATAATAATAATAATAATAATAATAAATTAATAATAATAATAAATTAATAATAATAATAATAATAAACGATAATATAATATTATAAAGTTGTGTTTGTTATTCGATGCCTTTACCGAAATTAATTTGGAGATTATATATCCACGTTCAAAACAAAGCTAAATTTTTTTCCCAGTAGTTGGCAATTCCGCAAAACATTCGCGTAACTTACGTGTACCTTTCGCGAACAACGCTGAAAATTCTTATTGTGGATACAGCCTAATAGATAATTATAGGCGGATAAAATACGTATTTTATCTGTGTAAAAAATAAAGTATTTTACGTCAAAAGCCTCGAGCCTATTGTGCGTTGGCCTTATGTTACTAGTAACGAAGCAGAATGTTGGTATCAGTGGAGAAGTTTTGATGAGAAGTTCGTTTTTGTATTTTCGAACCTGTGGAATCCAGCGTTCTTGTTTCCTGCTTCTAGCTTTATTCGTCTCGTGTTCCTGTAAGTGTTAAAGGTTTTTGGTAAGTTAAAAAAAATTTGTTTATTCAAATGTTTATTGTTATCGCGTTTTTAAGGTTGATAGCATTTAGTTAAAGCATAGTGAATATAATTGCCAACAATGTAAACAATTAAAACTTGCATTTGAATAAGAATTATAATTTTCTGCTATTGAGAAATGTTTTTTAATTTTAGGTTATGTTATCTAAATCGTTCCTTCTTGACAAAAAATTGTAATTTTTATTTAAATGCAACTTTTAATGGTTTAAAATATTAAAAATTGAATTCTTTAAGCTGACACTGAATATAATTTATACTATATTTAACTTTTTGATATAAAACACGAAATTATGAAATTGGACTAACTTTTGTTCTGGTTCTTCATTAATACGCAGAAAATAAAAAAATAAACATTAATTTAATTTAACAATTGATTTTTCTTTTTTAGAATTTGAAGAAAATGACTGGAGTGGAGAAAGTAGTTGAGGTAAGTAATTTTCTAAAAATTGCCAATTTTTGTTTTTAAAATCGCACTGTGAAATTGATAACTTGTATTCTTTGTAGAAAGAAGCCATCGGTTATGAAAGTTACATAGAGTCATCTCAAGATGAAAGTATGGAAATTACAACGGAGATATCGTTCAACGACGAAAATTTTGAAAATCAAAAAAAAAAGAGGGAGGCCGAGCAAAGCTCAACGCAAACTGGATGCTGATAGAAAGAAAGCGGAGGAAGAAGAGTTAAGAAATAAAAAACTTGAGAAAGCCCAAATGGATTTGCACAATCACGCCGAGCAAATCAAAATGGTGAAGCAGCAATGCGTAATTGCTGAAGGGCAACATGCCATGCTTCGAAATGCGCTGAATCCGAAAGGACAAGTCCCCTACATCTAGCAGCCACTTTTGCTGCAAACTGTGCCATCCAATCTTTTGGTACAGCAGCTGCAACAGCAACTGCATAATATGAAGGAGAGACAAAAAACATTTGAAGCTGAGGCACAAATTCAACAGCAGCAGCAAACATCAAATGAAACTAATTCATCGGAAAGCAATGTAAGTATTAAAAATATAGAAAATTGCTTTTGCTTACCTTTAATTTTTATTTTTAAAAAACCTTAAATTTTCTCTTTTACTTCTGGATTTTTACAAGTATTTCATTAAAATTTTTAAAAAAATTTAAATATTTGAATTCTCAAAAATTTTAATGTAAAATCAATTCTTCAAACATTTTATTAAAATTTATAAATTCAACCAAAAAATAAGTACATTAAAATTGTATAAAAAATCTAATTTTAAAAAAAATTATTAAAATTTAAAGAGAACAATTATTTTAAAAATTTTTAATTACAATTCTTCAAAGAATTTATTAGTTTTTTAAATTGTCCAGAATATTTTTTCAAGCATTTCAGTTATTTTCAAAACAAAACATTGTATTTCTCTACATGTAAATTAAAATTTAAAAAAGGTGCAGGATCTTCTAAAATCTACTGCTTACTACATTTTTTACAATTTGCTATTATTTGGATACTTTAATTTTTGGATTGAAAAAGTTCAGAAATTTTTAAAAATTATTTTTAAGAAATAATTGTAAGAATTTTTTGTATTATGTTTTGTTATAATTAAATTATTTTCTATATTTTTGGTATATTGTAAATAATTTACTTTAATAATTTCACAAAGAAATTACGAGTTAAAATTATTATGAAAAATTGAACTTTTGTATGGAAATAATTGATTTCTCCAAAAACATTCGAAAGATTATTAACATTAGGGTAGAGTAGGTGGATTAAAAGTTTAAGTTTTAGGAAAGATTAAATTTCGGATTGCTTGTTATCTAAATTTTACAAAATTTCAATTTCTTAGTAAAAACAAATAACAAGTACTGAAATGTTTATAATTAACAATATTTTAATTTTTGAATAATTAAATGCGTTTTAAAATTTTCTCAGGAGGTTTTGCATCAAATTCTTGAAAAAATGAACAATATTGAGAAAAGGCAAGAAATATTAGAAAAAAAACTCGAATCCAAACAAGAACAACCGCCATCATCAAAATTTAAAGAAATAGTCTCAACTTTAACCAAATCAGGATCGAATCAGGCTTCTGAAAAAGAAGATGCTCCAGCCCAAGTAAGAAAACTTGTTTAAAAGTTAATGTAATTTTAGTGTACAATTTTTTGCTTTTAAAAAATTGTTTAGCTATTTTCAACAAAGAAAAATTGTATTTCTAAATTGATTTTCAGTAGTAAAATACACTTTACAAAAATTTCTGTTAGAACAAGTTACGGGATACATCTTCACGTGGCAACTCAAGGGGTAATTCATCGAAGAATAACTCACGCGGCAGATTTTCACGAGGAATGTCTTCACGGGCTAATTATTCTCAAGGAAACTCTTCACGGGGCAATTTTTATAGACCATACAAACGGAATAACCATCAAAGCTACCGAAATTACAGTATGGATAATTATGGTCATCGTGGAGGTTGTGCTCGTGGTAGTTGTCAGGACAGTTGCAACAAGTGCTCTCGCCATAATCAACATAGTTGTAAATTCTGCAACTGCCGTAGTAACCACTGCCATTATTAGCAAAAAAAAAATTTGTGATAATGTCACCTTAATCTCAAACCTTGAAATCCTACTTTTAATGTAAAAATAGCAGTTGCAATAAATTAATATTTTTCAAGAATTTTTTTGTCTGCAATATAATGAATAATATTAAAAAATTATGTAAGAATCGCGAAATATTTAAAAAACAATAATAAGTGAATATTTTTTTTCTTCTGCAAATTGGCGCTAAATGGAGTAATGCGGTTATTTTCATTTGAATTCTATTACGATTTCATTCTATTCATAATTTCTATTTCGCCTACAAAAAGTAGAACAATTGCAAAGAATTTGATTTTTGAGTTAACATTGTTAAATAAAAATTAAATGATTTATTTTATTTTGTATTCTAATTTGAAAGAGTATTGAATAAACTTTATATTTACTTCTATATTTTTCAAAATTATTTTAATTTCGTAAAGAAATGCTTGTTTCAATGATAAAACACTTGATATCTAAAAACACATCCCCTCTCCTTTAATCTTATTGAAACTCATGGTAAATTGAAGCTTAGTTTTTTTAGTTTCCAGTTTCTTATATTTTATTTATGGACAACTAGAGTATAATTATACTACGCACATATAGATATGTCTATATAATTTTAAATCAGATATATAAAATATGAATCATTTAAAAATAAAAATAAAATTTATGTTTTTTAAAACTTTTACACTAAAATAAATGAAAATCAACTTTTTTTTTAGAAAATTAAAGTTTACTCAAAGTGTAAAAAAAGTTGAGAGGGGATTAAAACAATAAAGTAGGGGTAAACGGTACAGTGATTGCCAGTATAAGCAAAAAGGGGATATATTTATACAAATTACAAATGTTTAATTATCGAAATGAAAAATGAAACCATTTGTAAAGGAATTAAAATATTCCATTAATCTGAAAATAATAATGAATTGTTTATTTAATATTAGTATAAATTTAAAAAAAAATAAAAAAATCTTCACATGACAGAAAAAAATAGTGATTGTCATTATTTTTACAGTGATTGACCATCAATTTTACAATGATTGCCTACTAGACATAACATAGTAATGTAAATTATAAATTTTGCATAATTTATTAAAGAATGAATATAATTTGAAATTAATAAAGAAGAAGTAATTTTTAAAATAATTTTCTTTTATTAACAATAATAAGATTCATTAAATATGACTTTTAAGTGTAAATAATACTATTAACCTAAAAAATTGGGAAAATTGTCGAATCTGACTCAATTGTAAAAATAAAAATTATTTTTGGCTATTTTTATTTGATATAATGATTACACGATTTTTAAGTTTTTCATTGCTTAAAGAAGCATATACGAAACACCTTTTTTTACCTTCGGCAATTTTTCGATAGCCTAAAATCATACTTCATATTAAAAAATTGTTAATAAAATATTACAAATCATTCTAATACATGCTGCGGCTCTAATTACATCTTTATTTTAAAAAATTAATTCACCAAATATGAAATAACGTCCAAAAATTAAAAAATCCTTATCTCAAAAAAGACTTGAAAATAAACGGTTAATCACTGAAAAATGACATAATAACCAAAAATTAAACATTTCCCGGGGAGGGCAATGACTGTTATTTGTTATTAATTGCAAGATAGTAGTTGTTCTCTATAATTTTCAGTAAATCGAGTCAAATTACGTTAAAACAAATTTTTTTCCTTATTATTAAACTTATTTTCATGCATATAATTAAAAAATAATAATGATATGTATAATTTTTTCGTTAAAAAGTCAAAGAAAGTATCACTACTAACCTTGCAAATTTTCAACTAAATTGACAAAATTTCAAAGAGCTAAGGACACTGTTCTCGAAAAGCGCTATTATTTTCATAATACCCGTATGGAAAAGTGATGTGGGCCCCCAGTGGGGGCCCTTATGGATCGCCCTCATGCCATGAGGGGCGCATATGGATGATCCATAGGGGCCCATCATGGAAACGACATGCTCATCGATGAAGGCGCCCTTATGGGCCATAACGTTTGCCCTCATCTAGCCCTCAAGTTTGCCATAATGTTTTTTAATCAATAATATTAATAATAAAAGTTAATTAATAATAAATAAACTTAAGTTATGAATAAATAACATATTTTTTTAATAATTATTCAATTTTAAATTAAATTCTTACTCAAATTGAATTTATTAATTAACGTTCTAATTAATTAACTGTCGGATATAATTAAAAGTAATAATAAATTAATTAATTAAAAAATTAAAAAATATGTAATTTATGCATACTATTAACGGATATTTTCATTTTTCAATTAATTTATACATAGAATTAATGATTAAACGCAAACCTGAGAAATAAATAAATCTAACGCATGGGGGGAATCGAACCTACGACCTACGGACTATGAGTCTAACGCTTTACCAACTACGCTACGCACGCTACTTCAAAACGAATGCTAACTTCTCGATGCTATTTAAACTTAAAAAATACCTAACAAAGAAAAGTGCTTAACATCATTCAGTTAAAGTTAAGATATTAAATTATATTTTCCAATCAAATGCAATTTATAAAATATAATTAATTATATGCTTTATGATTATTATCATGAATCATCTCAGGTTAATTTTCAAAAAAAGTGTAAATATATTTTTATTAAAAACGCGTTTTTCGTTGTTCTGAATCATTGGAAACATTCATTTTTTGTTGATGAAAAAATATTTGACTTTTGGACTTAGAAAATTTTGCTAATCGATCATGAGGGCGATCCATGCGGGCCCCTACGTTGCCCCTCATCACAGTAAAAACAAAGTCTTAAACCGTTTACACCTTAAATTAAGCCCATATATTTTGCATAAGTCTGTCCTTTTTTAATTGGTCTGACTCCGTTTACACCTTAAATTCAGCCTCAAAAATAGGCTGAAATCAAGATTTCTTTTTTAGTGTAATGGATTCGCCATATGGATCAGCCATATGGAACTCTTGAGGGCAAGATCGTGGCTTTTTCCACACGGGTAGTGAGTCGAAGAATAAAAATCTTTTTACACTATTAGCAGAATATTCTGTAGAATTTATATAAATAAATAAAACAAAATATTATATGTAAATTTCGTTATTATTTCTGTTTGTAATGTAATGGTGGCAATCACTGTGAGGGGGGCAACAACTGTACCGCTTACACCTACTTCCATTAAATATATAATTCAAGAACTCTGTTCAGTGTTAATAATTACTCGACACAAGAAAATAAATTTCTTCTTTCAAATAAATGTAGGATTATTAGATAAATGTTAAGTAAATGCAATTACTTGATTGAATTAAATATTTTCCAGTATAAACAAGTATAATTACAGGGCAAAATTTCTCCAGTGTACCAACCTGAAATATACAGGTTGCTGGAATAGCAGATTTTTCACAGTTTGTATCTGTTATTCAACAACATAAAACAAATTTTCGATCTGTACGTTTTCTAAAAGTTTTTCTACTCTTTTCAATGACATATGAATTTTTCTTGAAAAAATTAATCTTTTTTTGAAAATTAAATATATTTTTGACTTTTTTTAAAGGAAGGACATATTTTTTTCTTTTTTCTACTGTTAAAACAAATGAAATACAAATGAAAGTAAACTAAATAAGTATATTTTTTTATTAACACCTGATTCTATAGCGACAAAAACACAACATACTTAAAAAAAGGTCAAATTTAATTTGAATATATTATATCACAAATTTAAATAAAAAAATATATGTAGACTCTTCCCAGATTACTCAAGCTTCAAATGTCCCAGAATACAAAGCTTGTAGTAATATCGCTGTGCAATATTACCGCAATATTGAGGTAAGACTACCGCAAGCTTGCTGCTAAAAATGTTGTTTTCTGCTAATAATAAATTGACTAAATTCTGCCTAAATATGTCAGATTTTACTGGGCCAATATTAGCCATCAAATCGGCCGATTACAGCAACAGTAATGGCACCGACTCCCAGTAAAAAAAAGAATTGCGAGTAAGCGATAAGAATTGGTGGTAACTTAAGCTGAATTCGGTTTGGCGAAAAAACCGAATTGGAACTTTACGGTGAATTATTTTTTCTTACCGTGAATTCTTTTTTCTTAAACATTTGAATTGACGTTCGTTTATTCGAGTTTGCATTATAAATGAATAAAATAAATGCTTCGAAGTCTAAAAAAGCCGATTTGGAATAAGAAATATATAATTTAAAAAAAATAAATGAAAGGGAAGTGTGATAGATTCACCGACGATTATATCAAGTGAGTAGTGTTCATATGATAAATTTACCATATGAGTAGTACTCACATGGTAAAATTGTCGGTAAATCTATCACATTTCACTTTTATTTCTTTTTAAAAAATTATACATTTCTTATTCCAAATCGGCTTTTTTAGACTTCGAAACATTTATTCTTATTCATTTTCATAACGCGGTGCAAAAAAGAGGCACTTTTTTAGCAGGCCGTGCTAAAAAGTGCGTTTTTTTGCACCTTATCATGAAAAGTATCGTTCGTAACTTGTGTTAATATTTGCAGATTTTTGAAAAAGTGTTTTTTTGGGACAAGCTGTAGACGAAACAAACGTCAATTCAAATGTTTAAGAGAAAATAATTCACGGTAAGAAAAAAATAATTCACCGTAACGTTCCAATTCGGTTTTTTTGCCAAACCGCTTTCAGCTTAAGTTACCACCAATTCTTTTCGCTTACTCCTAATTCTTTTTTTTACTGGGCTCTTATTGACTTGCATCTTGACACAATTGGCCCAATAAAAGGCTCAAATAACCAGCTTTTAATGAAAAAATAACAGCCAATAACGAGATGGAGTTCGGTCCATTACCGCGCCAATAATGGTTTCCAATGTCAAACCGATTTTCGTGCCCATGTTCGGCGCATTCGTGAAATAGCGTGTTTTTCATATCACATCTGCATCTATCTAAAATTACCAAATATGAAGTAGAATACAAAATACTTGCCCTTTAATGTTAAATGCATCAAACTTTCATTTTTTTAAGATGTTTAGTGTACACTTTTCCCAGTCCTCATTTCCCTTTACATCCGTGTGGAAAGTTATGGAAGTTTCTGCTCTCTTATTTTAAAATAGTCACTTTTGA